ATTTTTTATTTTCTTTATAAAGTTATCCCAAGCAGAGTGGGTTGAACATAACAGCAGAAAAACCGATTTACTCTATAAAATGAATCCTCATGGAAATCGACCTTGGGTCTTCTGCATGCGACGACGAAGGGCCTAACCATTACACCACAGATGTCGGTCCGTTGAGTGCGTGTAATTGACACCCCCCCCCCCTCCTATTGACGTTAACTAACACCCTGTAATTCGGAAATGTCCGGAGTCGTACCTTTTGACCCTTTGGGAAGTGCTCTATGTGCGTGACACGGGGTCTAAACAGCGGCAGTAATGGTAATGGATTTTTAAAGGGGGGAATTATTGTATGAACCATAGGCAATTTTGTAATTAGGGAGCGTTTATTAAGAATACGACTGACTTCCGTGCTTGTTGTTGTACCGTAAGGGATTTACGCCCCCATTGACACAATTATGATGATGTAAGAGGCGGGTTGTTTCAACACTGCTTAGCGTGGCGTCGGTGGCCTTTTTGTGGTTAGGCTAGCGGACTCGTAATCGTGAGGTTGCGTGTTCGGGAGTTCGAGCCGCGGGCCCGACGTTGTGTCCTTGGGAAAAGCCCTTTATACGAATTTTCCTCACTTCACCCATGTGGGAATGGGTAACCGGCCATAGGCTGCGAAAGATCTTTCAGTATATTCGTGTTTTAGCGCCCATACATGGCCGCTTGGACTGTATGCTTCCCATGAAGTTAAGGTTGTTTCAGAATGCTCTCAGGTCTGCTGGGGTAATAGTATAGATTGTGACGCGCTTAGAGCTTGCTGTTGAGCCTGGATTTGCGCGATACAAATGCTGTCTGTTATTATTAACGTCACAGCCCATCTGGGCTCAGACGGATACGATGATGTCCCTACAGAGAGACAGGTACATTCGAGTTTTAATTTTTTAAAATTCCCAACAAGGGAATCGAGCACGTGTCTTCTGTGTGCGACAGCGAAAGGCCTAATCGCTACACCACAGACATTGGTGCTTAATTCTCGTGATACCTTCTTTATTGTCCAAAAAAGGGGGCTGGATTCCTTTTGGATCCGGAGCTTCAAAGCTCCCTTTGGGCCAGTAAAAGACGGGTAGTCTATCTTTTGGATCAATTAGTGTTTACCGATTTCTTGCTTTATATTTGGAAATGGTTTTTCGTGTTGCCTCATCCGTTCACTGCAGTCTTTTGAAATAGATAACATGTGGGATTCGGAAAGTCTGTTATGTATTTATTGTTGCCCTGTGGTCACCACCGGGAAATGGAAGTAGAGCTTCGAGAAGGATCACCCAACCTCCAACCCCTCCCCCCCCCCATCCCCGTCTTTCCTTTACTCCTATTTGGAAATATTCTAGACTATTTTAAGTGGCAGACTTCCGACTCTGCCTGTCAGGGCCATCTCAGGCGGAAAGAGGCTGCAACATCTCGGCAGAAAGACTGCTTTTCAAAAAGTTTTGGTAAGAGTTTTACTCGATAGAAGAAATTTGCCCCCTCGGAAATCAAGCTCGGGTTTGTTGCCTGTGGCGCCGGCCGGGTAAAGTGCCTAACCGCTGCACCAGACACGCCAGTGATTGTGTCGATTTGGCCGGGTGGGGGGGGGGGGGGG